AAGTTTATTCATAATATTATTATAGGCATTCCAGGATTTATTTCTGAAATTCAAAGCATATTAACCATAGGCATACAAAATTACAAGTGTGTAGGTTTTATGCTATTTGAGTTATGGGTGGTTTCTAATAGATGCACGAAATGATTCGTGTAAATTACGCATTGTTGGTGCGTCTTTGCAAAATATTCTGGATCAAATAGGCACAGCTCAAAATTAACTTATCGTATCAAATATGTTTGAATACTTTTAAAAATAGGGCTCATTTTTAACAACATTATTTTAACATTACTAAAAATATAAAATAATATTATCAATAGCTTAGAAAATACACTGGCTAAAGTAAATTTAGCAATTTTTTCTAAATTTAGAACCAATAAAGAAACGTATACTACTACCGTTATTGCACACATAAAGCGGCACAAAGCTCTTTTGTTTCCCCTAGTTCGTTTAACCTTTTTCCTACTATATCGAAGCGAGCATTGTTTTCTACGAGGCTTGGCAACGATTTGACCACTTTCCGCTTCCAAATGGACGCAGTAAGTAGCAACTGACTTTTTGTGTCGGCTTCCATAAATTCCTTAAGCCTTACCTGATTTTTTATCAAATAAAGGAGACAGTCGTTTTTGGGCCCACTAGAAATTGTAAGGAATATTAATGGTGGTAGTCTAGTAGGCACGTAAAATATACTAATATATATAGTAAATGACCTAAAACTTTTATGGAAATCTAAACGGAATCAACCACAACCTCAAAAAAAAATGGTTAATTTTATATTCTCGTTTTGGTAAATGTAAAATGGGAAAATGCGAGTAGTAAATTGTATTTGCGATTTTTATAAAAAGAAAAATATTTCTTTCGAAACATAACTTTTTAACAGATATACGTATTTGTATATTATATATTTATTACTAAAACCAGATACCACGAGAGCTTTGTTTAAATCCTATTTCTAAAAATGTTAGATAATATTGTATAACATGGTTCAAAATGACCGTAGAACGAAACTCTATTTTGTCATTGACTTCCGAGTAGGCATGTCGATTCACTGCCAAAATCGATCTACGAATCATATCCAATCGAACACACTAAAATTGATTACTGATAAAATCGAACTTTAAAATATAGATTTTCGCTAATCGCTAGCCTAATATAAGTACTACTGTATTTTATAACAAAAGTGCAAACTGCAACGTACATTGATCGATAAATCAAATTGAAATGAATGCTACACGAACTCAATACTGTTTTTATAAACTTTATCATATAATATTTAAGTTCATTTGTTTAGAAAAGTGTAGAGGTTAACGTTCCTTCTGAAGTATTAACTACATTTTTATTAACTTTATACGTGGTATTTATACGTGGTAGAGCCATGCTGCAGTTATATTAGTAGTATAGTTGTAGCACGAATGGGTCGGCTCGACCGGGGAAGGACCACGCTCTCACAGAATACCAGCGTGAAATAGTAGCTTAATGCTGCTGTATTTCGTATGGTGAGTGTAGAGAACCGGAGACCCATTTTACTGGAAACGAGGCATTCCATCTTAGTCCTCACGGGTGACAACGCATCTGCATTTTGATTCGTAATCGAGGATAGATATAGATGTCTATGGGCCACAGCAACCACTTACCATCAAGTGGACTGTGTGCTCGTTTGTCACCCTATCCTATAAAAAAAACAACTAAATTAAAATGGATAAACCAAGCTGCGGATAAAAGAGAGTTAAAATGTCAAAAAAAATTAAGGAGCAACTACTGAGACGTTGTTTTGTGTAATAAGGTGTGTACGCTAGAAATCAAAAGAAATTCATTCAATTGGCAACTTTTAACTTAAGATGACAGTGTTTAACAAAAAACTTCACTTCGATCCCAATTAGCGACATCTGGTGAGCGATAAATTATGAGCCTTCTATAGTATAAAATGAAAAAAATATGGGCTTACTTAAAAGATAATTATTTTATATGCAATAGCTTATATGAAGTTATTAACCGACTTCAAAAAAGGAGGAGGTACTCAATTCCATTTTTTCAGTTCTGATGATTTCTTTTTTTCAGTTTTTAAAAATGTAAATTACTAATTAATCCCTAAGTGCTATAAAGATTGCAATAAATATAGAAAAAATAATTTATTAGGATTATTATTTAGTATAGACACTACAGTAATATTTTTTTAGGTGGATCACTTAGAATAAATGATTGTAAGCTTGTGTAGCCGTCCGAGGTAACAGAAATATGGAAATACATCCTAAGGATATTGAAGTGAACAGTCTTATCTTATATCTCTTATTGTTGAAAACGTCCTTGTGATTCATAAAAAAATCATAAATAAATATGTTATCAAGATATTATGGTGTTAATGATTTTTGTGATTTATATACATAGTCCCCACCAACTCTGTCTTGTGCGTGCCTATGTCGAACAAAATATTAACCGCAATCAATTTAAAGTAACTATAACAATGACTAATGTAAGTACATTAGGAAGATGAGATTATAGTTTTTTTGAAACTATTTATCATGTTAACATTGCACTATTTTAAGTTAATAAAGCAATGACGCAGTGTTTGACTGGCCTGTTGTTTTAGTGGTTAGTGACCCTGACTGCTATGCCGGAGGTCGTGGGTTCGATTCCCACCCAGGACAAATGTTTGTGTGATGAGCACGATCATTTGTTCTGTGTCTGGGTGTAATTTATCCATAATATTTATGTATTTAGAAATATATAAGTATGTTTATCAGTTGTCTAGTACCCATAACACAAGCTCTGCTTAGCTCGGGACTAGATGGCGTTGTGTGTGATAGTTGTGGAATATATATTGTGGAATAACAATGGTGAAAACTGCTAGACAATCGCTTTTATATTGGTTTTAGGTAATTGTGATATTCATATTTTAATTTTTAATTTCTCAATATTCCCGTTAGATACGGTATAATCCAATATTACTATTGTTGCGTAGGCTAGTACGGTACGGTACTAGAATGCCTTCTACTCTTTCATTAATAACTTTTTGTATGACCTTTGTTATTAGTGAAAAGCGTGGAAATGCGTAGAATAACATTTTTCCAAGGAATGGTAAATTTTCAGTGGCCCAGGCATCAGGGTAATTTTTCCCAAGCAATATATTTATGACATTTAGCATTGCGTCTGCTAGCAAAAAGATCTATATCTGGGTAACCGTAGCACAGAGTTTATTTATTTAATGCCTTATCATGAAGTTCCCATTCATGCCCAAAAAGAAATTTTTAACATAAGAAATTATAAGACACTTGATCTGCTTCGTAGTTGTCTAGTATTTCTATAAGAAGAGAAGTTATTGAACGAATTTCACACCATTTCCATATTTGTCTACAAATAATATTTAAATGATCAAACTGTATGCCACCCATCCTATTAATAAAACACATTGTGGTAACACTATCAATTCGCAATATTATTTTGAGTTTAAGTTAATAGCGAAACACTTTAGAGGCAGAAAAGCTGCCTATAGCTAATTCGTTAATAAGCAAGGATTTTTCAGGATCTTTTCAGTAGTCAAAACAGTTTTTCATGTTACTATAAGCACCCCAACCTGCAGATGATGCGTCAGAAAATATTTCTAAATCATATGCATCACAGTTTAGCGGATGAAAACTATGATCAAAATAGTTCATCCACCAAAGCGTGTCAGTCTGAAGACTTTTAGAAAGCTTTGCGATTTGTTCAAAACTAGGGTTGTTGTTGAGTAAGCACCGATATTTGAATTGTTCAAAACGTTTAGTGCATAGCCATGAATATTAACCTTTAGAATTGCTAAGAGTCAAGCAAATTCAAGAAGTTTACATTTATGTAGTTAAAAAACTTAGAAATACCCACTTTGATTTTAAATTTTTTACAATCGGGCAATTTTATCGCCATGTTCTTGAAATCAAAAATAAAACCTAAAAATTTACATTAAGTATATGGTTGCAGGCAGTTTTCCCCTTGTTTACTATGAAACCCAGGCTTAGGATAAAGTTTATTGTAAGACTAATATTCCTTTATTGAATTCTAAAAGTGAACATCCAATATATCAAATATAAAATATATCATCAAAAAATATATCATCAAGGTATATCACAGATATCATTCCATTAATTGTAAGATATTCTATTACTAGCTTCATTAATTTAGTAAATATACGGTGCTGCGCATATGATGATGATTGATGATGATACGCACAAATCAGCGTATCATCATCATGATGATAATGATGATGATACGGTGCTGCGCACAAACCGAACGGTTAAGAAAATAGGGGTTTTTTAAATCTATGGAAGCCATATAATAGTTTTTTGGTTATCAATTTTGATGCTGTTTGGTAATCCTCCATCTTAAAATGTCGCGTTTGTACAAACTTACGAGTATTTAAGCATTTGAGATTCAATATAAATCTATTTTCTCCGTTCGGTTTCGGCAATAAAAATACACTGGATATGATTTCGCTTTCTTTATGTGAGCAGTGGGATATTGCACCAATATCTAGAAGGGTTTTAAATGACTTGTTAAAATTATGGATTTCATGAGATTATTTGGGTAAACATTACGATCACTAGTACGATATGGCGTACTTATAAATGGTATTTGATAACCATTCACTTGAAGTTATTTCAGCCCATTTATGGGCAAAGTACTGAAATCGTCCCAAAAATACCTCGTCTATGTCCGGCGAGACATCATTCGCTTGTAGGACAGTGGGTGGCGTGAAGTGTTGGCTGCTTGCTGCAGTGCGTCCCGCGAGTGCGGGGTTTGCCTATGCCCTCGCCTTATGTTGTAAGTTTGCGGCTGCAATTTGTTATCTACCTTGTGATGTTGGTTTAAGTAGTTTAAATTGCCAGTGTTTCTGGTGGTAATGAAAGTAGAGCGGGTAAGTGTTAATAGGCGAAATTATGAAACCTCTACGTGTTCTTCATTTCATTAAATGACTATCGCAAAGAATGCAACATGCGTCGCTTAAAGGTTTTAAAAGTTTTTGTTTGCCAGTTTCATCCGAAATGATCATATTGGCGACAGCACCTAAGGCTGAAATGGCAACTCCTTGCTGCTATTGTTTGAATAAAGAAGTCTCGTTTTATAGAGGTCTCTGTCAGGACTGCTTTAACCCCCGGGTTTAGAGCTGATGCAATCAGTAGGTTACAGTTGGAGGGTATAAGATAAGTATTCAAAGGACTTTCTTTCAAGTCTTGTACCAACCCTTTAGCAAGTATGTCTTGCCACAGATTGGCTATATCCTTATGGATTGCAGGACCCATTGGGGTCTCGGTCTTAGGTGCATCACCAAGCAACACCGGTACGTCTTCGTCGAGTTGCTCTTCTAACACCATCGGCTGTGAAGCTTCACTGCCAGCTGAAATTCCAGGTGTTGGAGAAGTCGGTCTTTCGTCAACCTGCGGTGGCAATGACTGTGGTGCCATTCTCGGCTCCGGCGAATTTTGGAAACGTCGGCGGTAGAGAACCAGTTCCTGGAGAACCATTTCTTGATAAGATAGGCATATGTAGTTGAACCTCCTCATCAACCAGAAAAGGAGACTCCGCGCATGATGCTGGTGACAAAGCGTGGTACGTGCTCAGCGGATGCTGCGACGAATCTTCAGCAAACAGTTCTTATTAGAATGTTTGTAATAAAAATGTGACAGTATCAGCCCAAAATTAGCAGTACGCATCACTTTTTTCGTGACAAAGGTAACCCAAATACGGTATCTCGCATCACAACTTCATATTTTTTATTTATATCAATAATGACGGTAGTAGCCCAGTTTAGTAGTATGCATCAATGGGTGCGTTTGGCACAAAAAAGCGGTAGCAAGCGCTTGTAAGCGAAATGGCGAAACTAAATAGTTTCGGCCGGGACACGTTTGCTAACTTCAGTAGCGCTGACACAATCCGCCATTTTGCTTATTTAATTTGTTTGTTTTGAAGTAGAGTTGATAAGTTGTTTTGTGCAATTTTAGTTTTAAGTAATATAATGACATGAATAAACATATACATGTTATTAAAAATTCATGATTGGTAAGTTTTTAATATGAATACTTTACAAACATATATTTGAATTTGGTTATGTTCCACGGTTAAAACTAACTTCGTGTCCTAAAGGAAAATAGCTACTTACGATTTGACAGCGCTTACCGCGTACGATCGCCATTTTGCTTACAAGGGCTTGCTAGCGCTTTTTTCTGCCAAACGCAGCCAATGTATTGAATCTAAATTTAATTAACTTACTGCTTGATTCCTCTACAAACAAAGATTCTCCGTATTGGTAGCTTTGTTTAACTGCTTCTGCAGTTTTAAAAAAATGCTTGATTTCGTCTTCACTTTTTTCCTGTTTTCTTTTTCTTCCAATTTTTTTCCGAAAATTAGTCAACTTTTGTATTGTACAATAAGGCTAGATAGACGTGCGAAGCCTTGAGCACGGAGATACAGAATGACTCGAACAGAAACACGCAACCCGAGCTAGGCAAGGGTAGTATTTCCAGCATTAGTAGGGATACAAAAAAAATTACTTTAAAAAATCTGTGCAAGCCTAGTACATGGAGGTGATACTACAATACGTTAACAATAAATCGCAAAGAATGAAGCCGTAATACATAATTATTACTAAAACCAGATACCACGACAACTTTGTTTAAATCCCGTTTCTAAAAGTGTTAGCTGATATTGTATAACATGGTTCAAAGTGACCGTAGAACGAAACTCTATTTTGTCATTGACTTCCGAGTAGGCATGTCGATTCACTGACAAAATCGATCTACGAATCATATCCAGTCGAACACAATAAAATTGATTCCTGATAAAACCGAACTTCAAAATATAAATTTTCGTTAATCGCGACATTTTCAATCAGGCCTAATAATACATATAAGTACAGCACTACTGTATTTTATAACAAAAAAGCAAACTGCAACGTACATTGGTCGATAAATCAAATTGAAATGAATGCTATACGAACTCAATACTGTTTTTAACTATAAACATTATCATATAATATTTAAGTAAATTTGGTTAGAAAAGTGTATAGATTAACGTTTCTTTCTGAAGTATTAGCTATATTTTTATCAATTAAATTAAAATGAATAAACCAAACTGCGGATAAAAGAGAGTTAAAATGTCCAAAAAAATTAAAAAACGAGGTGTTGTTTTGTGTAATTAGGTGTACACGTCAGAAATCAAAAGAAACTCATTCAAATCGCAACTTTTAACTTATGATGACACTGACATGATTGATGACATCACTGATGTAACAAATAACTTCACTTCGGTCCCAATTAGCGACATCTGGTGAGCGGTAAATTATGAGCCTTCTATAGTAAACATTGAAAAAATATCTGTTTAGTCAAAATATAGTTATTATTTTATATGAAATAGCTTATATAAAATTATTTATCGACTTCAAAAAAAGAGGAGGTACTCAATTGAATTTTTTAAGTTCTTTACGTCAGAACTTTTTTTTAGGTGAACCGATACTGATGATTCTTTTGTCAGTGTTTGAAAATGTAAATTACTAAATAATCAATACATACATAAACATAGTCCCTACGTGCTATAAATATTGCAATAAATGTAGAAAAAATAATATAAAAATTAATAATATAAGAATTAATTTAAGAATTAATATTTAGTGTAGACACTACAGTAATAATTATTTTTTCAGGTGAATCACTTAGAATAAATGATTGTAAGCTTGTGTAGCTGTCCGTAGGTAACAGAAATATGGAAATACAGTCTAAGGATATTGAGGAGAACAATCTTATCTTATATCTCTTATTGTTGAAAACGTCCTTGTAATTCATAAAAAAATCATCAATAGATATGTTGTCTAGATATTATGGTGTTAATGATTTTTGTGATTTATATAGTTCCCACAATGTTCTTGTGCTTCCTATATGAAAAAATCTTTTAATATGATGATAGTTAAGAATAATAAATAGGTACAGTTATGTTATATGTTGTTTTTATCAAAGAATAGATAAACATGTTACAAGTCATTTTTGCTTTTATGGTGTTTTGAGCTATGATTATTAATCTGTTGACACATTTTAAAACAAAGTTCACACACTGCGCCTGTCTATGCTGCTTTATGATAATGATGAAATATAGTGACCTTATACATAGTGTTTCTTCATCTTTACATAATCAGTTTTACATGTCTTGTCTAGTAGTTATCACTGTTTACATTACTGCAATTAGATCAATATATATAACTAACTCAGTAACTATGGTTTGAATGTTATTTATGAATCGGTGTATGCTGGTGTATACTTACAAATCAATCAAAACATTAAAACAGTCATGACTTGGCGCCTGTCTTTCTGTGTATTATACTTTGAAGAGACTATTTTCGAAATAGTGACTACAATAATAAATGCAGTGGCATTTTTTTCGTGTTTTTTTCTTTACACAACCCGTTCAAAACATCTTTCATACTATGTAGTGTGTATGGGTAATATTATAAATGGAAATATTATCCCTTTTTCATCTTGGCTTTAACCATATTTCTTTAATTATTTTAATGGTGGTTGGGATGTATATTCACGAATCTATCAATATATGTACAAAATATTCCCCACTCCATCTCTGTTTATCTGTGCACTATGTTTTGCCGGAACTACTAAAAGGATTAACCTGCAATCTTTAAATAGGCATTTATAGTATATAATAAGTATATAATAAGGCATTTATAGGTAAATGCCTAATGTACTTACTACTTTGTTTGAAACTATTTATCATTTAACATTGCACTATTTTAAGTTAATAAAAATGGTGAAAACTGCTAGACAATCGCTTTCAGGTTGGTTTTAGGTGATTGTGATATTTATATTTTAATTTTTGATTTTTCAGTATTCCCGTTAGATACGGTAAAATCTAATATTACTATTGTAATCTAGAGGATATGAGCAATAAATCAACATGCATTTAATTAAGTCGCTAACATTTGTGGTGGACCTATTCTTCATACATAAAGAAATTGTTTCCTTAGTGGGACGTTTTCTTTACTATATTTTTTTTCTATGAAAATATACTTGTGTTTCACTATATTAGTAACGATTTGTAAGCTTTCGAGTTTTGCTACAAGACTGTAACCAAATACTATTTACATTATAGTAAAAATTACACTACTATATTGAGCTTACATGGACACTTGGTTACAAAGTTACATACGCAATCTGAACAACTTCTCTTAATAGATTATTTGCTATTTGACGGTAACATTAACTAGCCATCTGCACATGACAAAATTGAAGTGCACGCGTGATTAATATTTGATTCAACACCAAGCCAATTAAATTTGTGACTTAAGTATTGGTAGTTTTAATACATATTATCTTGCTAACAAAGGATTGCCCCCTGGAACACGACCGAAAAGAGCGATGACTGCTTTAAACGTTATACTTGTAGTGTTGGGTTGGTGATTGGCTTGATTGTTTGGGTTCGCTATACGCTGATAATTTTTTTTTGGATACGCCATAGAACGTAATTCAATAATTTCTGTGTCTGTTATCCTTTTCCGTTTTTTTTTTTTACGATTTGTAATTTTTACTAGGATCCCCGCGAAGTTTCTTATACTATTTATTCTCCGTTTAGAAAAACCTCATTTCAAAAAGGTGTTGGTTTTTTTAATACGTAGAAGAAATTAATATTTTTCATTTTATTTCATTTCAGGAGTATGTGAGTGTATGTTTGCGTAATCATAGGTGTACTCTTTATTTCTTATACTCATATAGTTCGATGGTACGGCAGTCCGAGAAGTTTGCGTAATCATAGGTGTACTCTTTATTTCTTATACTCATATAGTTCGATGGTACGGCAGTCCGAGACGACCCTAGAGAAATGACACCATGACACCAGGCTGTTTGTGAGAATATATTTTTGAAATCCAGTAACAGATTTTGGACTCGACGCGGTATTAGATCCTTAAACCACATGAATTATATAGCATTATGTTGAAGTTGCACATACTATAATGACATTTTTTTTAATATTATTTTTTTTGCCTTTGCTTGTTTTATAACTTCGAATGGGAATGAGGTTAGATTAAAACTACGCTAGCCAATACGATGCTGCCTCCTTTCTTTGCCATCAGATAACAGTTCCCCACACTAATATAACAATTATGTTGCCACTACAGCCTATTGAGGTTATGTCACCTTGAGCATATTTCTTTAGATTTTATCACTTCGTGAAATTCCAAGCATAACAGTCTACCCTGGGAATGAGGTTCTTCTATTTTAGGAAGAATTTTTCGTAATTGCCGCGCTTCGGCAGATAGGCGATTGCAGTAGCAGGTATCGAACCTTTAAAACTGTTCCCCGTCAACGGTATGTGTATTTTTGTCTGTCATATACGAGATGATAATCTGAATTTATTAGAAGCCATGAGAACTTTCTTTTTGGATATTAGATTCTTATTACACGAATCCTTTCTTTAAAAAAACATCTTAAAAATGCAAGTAGTAACTTCAATATTTTAGAATAGCTAG